TGCTTCTGACTAACATCAGAATCTTAAACTTAAATACGACAAAACCTAAATTCTCTGAGACCCAAATTCTAATATGACTAATCACAAAAACTAATGACGAAAGCTGCTCATTCCACACCAACACACTGTTAACACAAGTCTAAATACTAAGCACAAGACCAAAGATGGTTCAGGGACACGAGGCTCTGCCGGCGCAGAAAGGTGACTTCCTCCCACGCCGGCCGGAAGAGGGCGCTTAAACACCGCCTCTTCTGGTGGTTCGACCAATCCCGAGCCTCCGGGTGTTCCAAGGGACGATCCTGGACTGCTCATGAATGAAAGAGAACAAAGATGTGAAAACAAGAGGAGGTCTCAGGCTCTCACAAAAACAACAAGCCGGATTCTTACGCAGGGGCCGTAACACCCACCGTCCTAAGAACGAACTTCTTTACAATCGTCATTGAAACAACCCACGTGACACAGCTTCGGCGAAAACATTCTTGGGACCTTTTTTGTGTCTTATATCCAAATTGAAGTCTTAAATTAGCAGTGCCCACCTCATCAGTCTCTGATTGGAATTTTGCATCTGACGCAGGAACACGAGGGGATTATGGTCGGTGAACACTGTGATTGGTAGAGGACTGGAGCCGATGTACACTTCGAAATACTGCAGCACCAACAGTAAGGCTAATGCCTCTTTTTCTATTTTGAAAAATAGCACACTGGATGTTCAATCCCTGCCATCTGCGTGTAACAACACAGCGCCTGCACCTACAGCACTGGCGTCAACCTCAAGGGTGAACGGGCGAGTGAAATTTGGGGCAGAAAGAAGTGGGATACTACACAAAAGAGCTTTGCAGGCCTCAAACGCATGCCAACAGGAGGAGGACCACACAAACGGCAACTTGACGCTGGTCAAGCTGGTCAAGGGAGCGACCACATCAACAAAGTTCCTGCAAAAGCTACGATGGTATCCAGTCATGCCCAGGAGGCGGAGCTCACGTCGGCTTTTTGGGACAGGATGCTCTACAATTGCCTGAACTTTGGCATTAACGGGACGCACTTCACCCTGACCTACCTGTCTACCCAGGTAGGTAAAACTCACATTTTGCCAAATTTAAAGTGAGATTGGCCTCCCTGAACTTACCAAAAAATTACACTGAGGTTTTGAATGTGGTCAGACCAAGTGTCTACATAGACCACCACATTGTCCAGATAAACTTCACAGTTTTCCACACCTGCAAGGACTCTATGCATCAGCCTCTGGAAAGTGGCAGGGGCATTGCGCAAACCAAATGCATCACAGTATACTGAAGAAAATTGTCAGGAGTAACAAAAGCACAAATCTCGGATGCACGCCGAGTTAGAGGAACCTGCCAATATCCTTTAAGTAGATCAAGTTTTGTCACAAACCTGGCTGAACCAATCCTATCCACGCAGTCTTCCATTCGCGGTAATGGATATGAATCTGCCTTTGTGACATTATTCACTTTTCTGAAATCAGTGCAGAACCGTGGAGTTTCGTTGGGTTTGGACACGAACAAGCACGGGGAACTCCAGGCACAGGAGCTTGGGACCACAAGACCATTCTCTAATAAATAGTCAACCTCCTTTTTCATTAAGGACCGTTTTGTGGGATTCACATGGTATGCTGACTGTTTTATAGGAGCATGATTACCAACATCAAGGTCATGGGACAGGACAGTGGTGCGAGATGGAGTGTCCAAAAACAAGGTGGGATTATTTCTAATTAGATGAGTGATGTCTGCTTGAGCTGAAACATCCAAATGTCGCAAGTGGGCCGCTAAGTTCTGCAAAATTTCTGAATTTTGCAGCCTGGAGCATGGTGAGCTTTTTATACAGAGACCATTTTCAGGAGCGTCTGCAGAGGAAACAGAGGTCCAACAGCGACAGTAGGGGGCGCAACAGTGACACAACATGTGAAATATGGCTTCAGCATATTCACGTGACAAACCCGTGTCTTTCTTCTGCGTACCAATTACACAGTCAGTTTCACTTAACTGTTTCTCAATTTGGTAAGAACCACAGAATTTAGCCTGTAGGTCAGAAGTGGAAATGGGAATGCTTCACATGCTTTGTGCAGCCTCTCTTTAAACTTACTTACATAGTCTAACACACTGTGAACCGGACTACCAGCCTCAGACAACAACTTCTCTCTCATTAAACGTAGAGGACCACGCACAGTGTGAACAAACACTAAATCAGCGCGACTGAAACCAGTGGATTCCTGGACACTTTCTCTGAAAGCCATCAGAAGGAACGGCAAACCTTCATCCCAGTCTTTACTACTTTCAAGGCAATATTTTTTCATCATAGATTTTAGGGTCTGGTGAAAACGCTCAGCGCTCCTTGAGACTGTGGATGATAGGCACTGGATGTTCTGTGTTTTATGGACAGGGATGCTAAAACCTGAGTGAACAGTTTGCAGGTAAAACTAGTTCCCTGATCTGTTTGGACGTATTTTGGGAACCCAAAGGTGGAAAAGAAGTTAACAAGAGCATTGACAATAGTTTTAGCTTTGAGTGTGTGCAATGGAATAGCCTCCAGATAACGAGTGGCTTAAGTGACACCAGTCCTGGAGCTTCCCTGACACACCTCGTATTTAATAAGATGCTAAGTTGAACCAACTTTTATTATTATGTTTGAAAAATGAAATATCACAGAAAGGAACTTTTGTTGGTTTTATTGTGGTTTTCTGTGTCTCAGGGACGGTTTAATGTGAAATGATTTGTTGTTCTCACACAAAAACTTGTTGGTTAAACTGAAAGGATAAAGTTTGTTGAATTCTTCTGCCAGCTTCCAACTATTTATTTTATTTTTAAGTTGAACTCAGGTTTAGCTGAAAGTTGCTCAAAGATTTAAAAGCACCAGGTCAGAAATGATCTGAAGTTTAAAATGATTGTCAACTAAATATTGTATTTGTGTTGAAGCCTTAAAGACTGCTGATGAACAGTCAGGTGAGCTTCAGGTGAAGACCAGCTGCTCACAGGATTGCTCAGAGATGTTTTACCAGAGCTAGCTCCGTGGATTTCAATGTTATTATTCTTAATATGTTCAAAGTAGGGCTGCAGGTGGATCAGTGGTTAGCACCGTGNGACCCTAGTGAGGGTTAAGGTGTAGAGATGATGGATGGATGGTTTTGTTGTAGCTTCACTTTCAATTTAAAACGTATTTGACGGTTTTGACCTGGAATCAGACTAAAGCAACTGGTTTAAACTCCTGTTTTTTAAAATTATACTTATTGTTTTACAACAGTTGAAAATGGACAAACTTGACTGTTTCATAAAGTTTTGAAATCACTGAACCTGTTGTTACAGATTCTCTTCTTTAAACTTGATTTTCATCCAATGACTGAGAATGACATTTTAGAACTCTACAGCCGAGGTCAGAGGGGAAAGGGTCCCGATTTTAAGGCTGAAAAAAGTTTGTTGTTGCTGACCTTTTGTAGCTTGATGTCAAATTTGACCAAAGCTAAGAAGCAACAACATTTTATCGTTCCTCAGTTTTTCTACAGATTCTGAACTGGATCAAACCAGAGCTGTTTGGAGGTGAAGCTCCTCGTCTGGATTCATGATCAGGCTAAACCTAACGTTGGAGATCATGTAAAAAGGCTCAGAAACATGTTGACTTTCTGTTTATTTCAGGCTGTAAATGAAATCTGGTTCCTCTGTTCCTTCTTTAATACATTTTCCAGCTTCCTAAGGTTCACTGAATAAAGAGCCGCTTTGTTCTTTGAAGAAGAAAATCAACAATAACTGAAGTAAATGTCAATTTTTTTCCTCCTGAAATAAAATGATGAAATGCTGATTCTTCAGTGTAACTTATTTTCATTCATTATTTTCATTTTCACTGTTGCAAAACTGTGAAATAAGTCATTTGTAGAACGCTCTGGACGAAACAATCAAAGTGTGAATATAATGCTTTTTTTTTTTTTTAATGTACAAAAGATAAATCTTTGAAAAGTAGAGAAATGAGGAAGGAGGATGTAACGTACAGATGTTAATGGCGCTGGTTCATTTTCTTGTGTGTTTTTGTTTTGTTCTGTTTCCTTAAATTGCTCCGTTGGAGTCGGGTTTTGTGTTGCCTGTTTAGTTTATCGTGTTGGACTTTGCATTTGTTCATGGTGAAGAATGAGGCAGGACCGGACCAGCCTGGGCTTCGTCCTGTCCCGTTTCCAACGAGTCAAATGTGTTTTATATTGAAGTTGGCTTTTGTTTTTTTTAATTTTTCTTTTCCATTTATTTTAATCGTTTGTTCGAAATAAAGAAAGAAAGAATCAACTAGAAAATTTCCTTGCAGAAAATTTGGGAGTGCCACGGGAGTCTGCCGGGACCTTTAAATGACTATTTTATGATTACCAAACTTACTAAAAACTTT